TTTTAGGGGCAATAACTTCCCTATAAATCAGGAAGTTACTAATAATTCATTGAGTCACGAATGTTGGTAGATGTTTCTTTTCGAAGTAGAGCTTTTTGGGTTTACAGAAATTTATTATAAAAATGAACTGGATTTGGTTCTATAAAACAATGCCTCGAGCGCTAAGGGTTAACCTATGGATTTCTGTACGCAAAAGCACATTTTCGACTGTTTACATCGACTTTATCACACATAGTGCTCAAGACTTCGTATAATATCGAGACGGAAACTCGAACAACCGCCGTGCCGCTTGAATCGAGACGAGCCGATGATACGACCGCAAACACATGCGCGCATTGCGCACCGTTAACCGGTTACCCGTGAGCGCGCGGCTCGCACTTTTGTTCGAAGAAGTTGATTCGTTCTCCGCTGGCGACCACGACCAACGATAACGTTCCCTCGTAAGTTGCGCGCCTTTTTACGTTCGCTCGTGGTTGCTTAATTACCAGCGAGCGAATCGCGGTAACGTGATATTAGCCGCGAACTTGAGTGCTCGGTTAGTGTCGTTTCGTGTCGCGGAGCGTGGGAGGTAGCCAAGGGTCCATCCTCTGATTACTCGCAAAGAGAGGTATCCGAGCGTGACACTGTCTCATTAATTAGCTACTACACAATGGTAGATAATAAAGTACTGAAACTAATGGTATATAGTTTTGGAAGCAAACGGTTCATAAATTATAAAATATACGACATTGAAACGATTACTACTGCTTATCGGAAGAAATATAGGAAATTTTCGATACAGCAGAATTACTGTAGAATCAAATGAAAAAACATGAAAAAAATCGTCCAATAACGATAGACGAACAATTCGAATTCAGAAAAAAACGTAACACTATGCAATAGGGATTAAGAATTATTAATGAGATTATTACAAATTTTAACATTGACAAACTAATACAGTAAATATATCCAAGTTCAATTATCAAACTGATTTACTTATATTTGAAAAAGAAAACTTCAGAGTAACAGTAAATAATAAAAAGTCGATGCAGAAACAAAAACTAGCAAGAGTACCAAAAGGTTCTATTTTTGGTCCAGTATTACAATGATATATAAAAATTCCAAAAAACACAAATAGCTATGTATGTAGATAACGCAGCACTTTATACGTGTACATTCATTTCATATATATCATTTCATGTATATTCATTTAATATATATATAACCATATAATAAGTATACATATATTGGGCTGTCTGGAAAGTCCATGGCGATTTTTAGTAGCCGGTGCAGGTCTGAATATATCGGAATGGCTGAAAACGAATAAAATGTGTACATTTCTTATAGTAGTATTACTGGATTTTCACGAGATGTTATGTGAAGCTTGAAATCACTAAAAAGTGTGGGGGGGGGGGCTTATAATTTTTGTACACTAGTGTATACAAGGTGTCCCGCGCAACTGGAACAGGCTGTATCTTCTAAACGATTGAAAATAGAAAAAAAATGTTATAAGTGAAAGTTAAATGATTTCAGATGGTGCATAACACGCAACTACTTTTATGGACTTTTGTGCATCGGTGCATCAGAAAAATGCAACTGTACTTTTTTTTGAACGGAAACCTATATTTCTGACGACACAGATCGACATAGTTTCTAGTGCTCTACGAAAAAGTATTAACATACTTATGCATTAAACTTCACCGTTAAGAAGTTATCGATGGTAAAAGTTATCCGAACTATTTCTATCCCTCAGCATAATTAAGAATACATTCTACACCCATTGTATACCCAATGTAAGTAAAAATTAATGCAAACATCAGTTTCGAAATATAAGTGGAAAACCTATTTGTTTGATAACTTTTACACGCCACTGTAGATTGATACGAAGAAGCATTCAAAATTCGAAAATACTATGAGAAATGTTATAAATTATCGAAATTTTTAATTTTTTAAATAACGAGGGTGGTCAAGGACTAATGAGTGTGCCGGAACAATGTTGGTCTAAAAAATACGTACCGATTACTTCGTGTGACGTAGAGCGATCGTTCTCCGCGTATAAATTAATTTTGACAAACAAACGCCGCCAACTAACACCATTAAATTTGGAAAAAATGCTCGTAATTTATTGTCGCGCGAATTATAATATACCAGAATAATTGTGAAAAGTATTTTATATATGTGTACATACCGAATATTCTGTAACATACTAATATAGTACTTATTATACTACGTTTTATTCAAATTTTTCGTGCATATTTGGCATATTTTTGGTGCATACTTTGAATATTTTTCGTGCATACTTTGGATATTTTTCATGCATATTTTGCATATGCATGTTACATATTTATCGTGCATAAACTTCCGCAGTCTAGTTATAATATAGATACATTTGTATTCGAGGTAAAGGTAGCCAAAAATATAACCATGAATGCCGTGACTTATTGCACGTATGTGAAAGAGTATTAGAATTCAGAGTTTCATAAAAGAGTAATACCCGGCCGGGTTTATCGGCCCTGCAATCATTGACTCGAGTCCCTACACACGCCAAACCCCCCATTATCCCGTTTCCGTAGACACGAATTCCTATTCGATGTTCCCGTTGTCGAGTTGGATCTCGAGTTTCTTGAACACGATACAGCCTTTGATTTTGTTCTAATTTTTTTTCTCACGGTATACGGTAGTTATACTCTACTAAAGCAGCGATCGGAAACCAGTGACCTACGGGTCAATTAGTCATCCGCATTGCCATAACAACTGTGCCATCGACTTCTTCGCCATACTTTAACGAAAGACTGTAATAAAAAACATCAAACGAACGAAAGTAATAATCAGAGGTGGGTAATATTTGTAGAGAAAATATTTTAAATACTATATTAAATAATAGATTCTTCAGAATTCCAATAAAATAGTATTTCAAATGGGATATAAAATTTCAGCAAATGAAATACTTTATTTTGATAATGTAAAACGTAAAATAAAATAATTAATTTTAGTAATCCATAGTTAAAGTATGAAAATAAATATTTTATTTTGATAATCTAACACATAAAATAAAATATATTTCATTTTAATAACATAAAGGAAAAAATTGAATACTTTCCATAGTTCTTAACCTGAAAATAAACTGTGTAAATATGATGCACAGATGAAGAAACTATTTCTTGCGATTGAAGAAATATCTCTTTCCATCACTCATTTTATGAAGGTTCTTATTGAAGATTCTTAATAGAAGTATTCATTGAAGAACTACATTGAATGTATGTTTATAATCCAGAGAAAAAGTACTTCGTTCGTTTTAGATTACCAAAATAAATATATTTTACACTATAATTTAGTAAAATAAAAATATTTTATTTTCTGATAATAAAATAAATAAATAAAATATTCCGAACTATGGCACAAATATTTTCAGTGTTTTTCAAATAGAATATTATTTGAAACATTATATTAAACATTTCTTATAACAAATCAAATATTTTATTTTTAAAAATTCATGCATGATGCGAAATAAAATATTTATTTACTGTTTTATATCAAAAATACGTATTCTACCCAGCTCTGGTAATAATTTGTTGGACATTTGTCTGTCGGATACCAAAGTATTTTATATAAGACATTCCAAAGCTTTAAAAATTACAGTTCATACTTTTTTTGTAATAAAGAAATTTGTGCGTTGAAAATTATCAGAATTGCGTCGAAATTACTCTTTCCTCCCACTTGGATGAAATTGTTTCTTATTGTTTCTTCCTGGGGACTCTAAACGCGATACTTTAACGAAAAATCGCAATGAAAAATATCAAACGAACGAAAGTAATAATTTGTTGGAAATTTGTCTGTAGGATACCAAAGTATTTCATAAGACATTCCAAAGCTTTGAAAATCATAATTCATATTTTTATAATAAAGAAATTTGTGCGCTGAAAATGACGAGAATTACCTCAAAATTACTCTTTCCTCCCATTTGGATGAAATTATTTCATATTGTTTCTTCGTGTCTACTCTAAACATATTAATCTGAAAATTGAAATGATTTTTTTGGAAAACTCATTACGTGATTTATTCGTGAGAAAAAAATTCGATTCGTCAAATTGTTCTCTGGTCAGTTTGTCAATACCATACAATAAAAATAAAAATAAGAAATACGTGATGGGAAACAAAAATAAAACTCATTCCAAAACGTCACAACTACCGTAGATACCACGTGAAATTGTAATTTATTCACTTCTTATTTAGAAACAATGATATTTTATATATTCTTGGAAATCTCTAGAATGGATACAGTACAAAAAGAAAAACAGTTATTTATATAAGTTGCGAAATTAACAAGAAAAAACAATTCGTACAACTGTTTAATTTTTAAAACTTCACAAAAAGAAACGAAATTTACTTTAATTTATAAATAATTAATACTTCGTGGAATTTTCTTTTGATTTTATAATTACTGCTATTCTTTTAGGCATTAAATTACCTAAATGTTTTCTAATTCTTTTCTAATTCGTTTTCTAATTCTAATTCAAATACTTATTGCTTTTACATTTCTACCAATTTTTCGTATATTTCTGTTAATTTCGCAAATTATATAAAGTAGTAATTGTTGTCTGGATATACTATATCTATTCTAGAGATTTCTAAGAATATGTAGAATATCATTGATTATAAAAAAAGAATTTAAGAAACCACAATTTCGCACAAAAATGTTTTTGGAAATTGATCGATCTACGAATACATTTTACACCCACTGTACGTGTTTCTTTTCAAATGATGTGAAAAATATCGAAAATCCACAAACGGGGCTCGTAACAGGAAATGCTTGAGTTTCCTGAACACGAAACAGTTTTTCATTTTACTCTAATCTCTTCCTTCACTTGGTCAATTCGAAATTACAAGTTTCCAGAATAACTATCTTCAAAGAAACTTGGATACATTACATTTGGATACTACATTTTTGAAGTATGAAAAAGCAAAAGATTCCGTAAAAACACGATCACCAGTTTTAGGGGTGACTCTTGGTCCACACTCACCAAACAATTGCTCGCGACGCATAGAAGTAGAATAGTTCGACGACTTCCACGCATCGTGTCCTCCTATATTATGTGCACGTAACTGGATTGTTCGCGTTATACTTTTTTCATCGACGGTTAATGACGAACGAGCGTATTCGGAAGCGACGATTTCGATTCGATTGCGTTTCGATAGGTGCGCGCGACCGATTTTCGAGCGCGTGGTTGTCGACTAGCGCGCGCCACGGGATGACTGAAAGCAAACTGACGGACGTCCCCGTGCAACCGATGGAAAAGCGGACACAACCGCGTTCCCTCGCTCTCCCACCTCTTTAGCTCGGTCTTGGTCTTGGTCTTGATCTTGGCCTCGGTCTCGGTCTCGCTCTGGATTTCTTCTGTCAAATTATCCAACCTTCCCCAACATTGTAATTTATTACTAACGCCACTACATTGACGCTCGTTTTCATGCTTGTGGGAAACTTAATTTGGGAAATTTAATTTTTGGGGAGAACGAAGGCAGAGGTGTTTAAAATAGAGCCTTTGATTTTTTTACGTGTATTTCAAGTGGTTGTTTTATAAATTTATTTAATGTAAGATATTAACAAAAGGATATTAATAATTCACTTGATTGTTATTTGATTAAATATGAATCATGTGAAACTATTTCTGTATAAATTGATCACCCAAGTTTTATGAAAAACGATATCAACATTTTGTAATTTTAGTAGACTCGCATGGTACATACAGATTTTTACACAAATTTTTTCAATTTAAATCAAACTTCAATGGAGAAACTTGTTGAAAATTTGACACGTTACAAAAACTGAAATTATAAACCATATAAAGAAAAATAACAATTATTGACTATATCATTAGTTAGATATAATTCATTAACTACAGTTCCCATTCACCTTAAAATAAAAAGAAAGACAAAGGTAGTAGTGGCAAGGGGCGGATAGTAGAGCAGTGCGTAGTTAGGTTATAGTTGGGTTAGGGATGGCTAACAAAAATATAAAGTATGGAAAAAACCTAAGGGCGAAAAAATAAGGAATGAAACAGTGCAATAGCAAAAATAAGGGGGAATGAGACTGGTCAGTACTTCCTCCAGTAATCACTATGTCGCACAGTGGTCCCGATGGCCGAAAACCTGCCCAAAATAAGGAGTTTCGGATCTTCGTGAAACTTGGTATTTTAGGGTTATTTGGGCTGCAAATTACGAATCTGGTATCAAAATTGCAAAATTCAAAATGTCAGATCCAGTATAGCCGACATGTATATTACAAAGTTATTAGATTTTCATGAATAAAAATTATTTTATTTCACTCTATTTAGTGACAATCTATAACCAATAGGTTTCATGCAATAACAATAGTTATGAGCAATATACAGGATGACCCAAAAACGTTGGAAGTCCTTGAAAGGGGTGGTTCCGGGGCAAGTGGGGTGGTGATTTGAAACAATTTTTCCTTAGCGAAAATGGTGTTCGAGGCTTCGTTTCGGATATTCCAGAAACAGAAACTCACGACCAATCAGAGCGCGCGAGTATGGCTGAGGAGCGCCTGCGGAGCCTACGCTACCGCAGGCGCTCCACGGTATACTCGCGCTCTGATTGGTCGGGGGTTTCTGTCAATATCTCCTTAACGAAGCCTCGAACAACATTTTCACTATGAAAAAATTATTTCAAATCACCCCTCCGAAATACCCCATTCAAGGACATCCAACATTTTTGGGACACCCTGTATAGTTCCAAATATGGAATTAATCGGGATCGGAATCGGAATCAATTAATGAACCAAGAAAAAAAAATGGAATTTTGCAATAACAATAGTTATAAACATTATGAAAAATTCATAAATTTTTGCAAATGTGATCATCGTGAAAACCTGTACGGCAGCAAAATGTAAGGGATTTCATCGATTTCAGGCCAAACATTCGTGAAATAGTACGCTTTTTGCGAAAAAAAGTGATATAAAGTGGTAAAAAATAAGACAAGGACAAACGTTTTGTTATGGGACCAAATGGCAAATGCTCTTCCAGATGCAAGAAGTTTCAATCTGATTGGTCCATTCGTCTCGGAGTAAGAAGCAAGACAAAATTTTTCTGTTATAAAAAAAAAAAATGGTAGAAAATGACAAATCACAAAATGTTTCTTTTACGCGACCAACTGAGAGAAATATTCGACAAGATGCAAGAGGTTTCACTCCGATTCCGCAAGCCATCTCGATGTAATCAGCAAGCATACCTAAAAATCACGGTTTTTTGGTAAAAAAAAAACGGGTAAAAAATTACAAATCGCAAAAAGTCGTGATAATGGGACCAGCGGGGGGGCATGCTCTACAAGATGCAACAGGATTCATTCCGATTGGTCAAGCCATCTCGGCGTAATCGGTGAACATACCTTAAAAAAAAAAAGAAAAAAATACATGTCGAATTAAGTAACCTCCTCCTTTTCGAAGTCGGTTAAAAAATAGAGATTCGATCAAATCCTTAAGGTGCCTACTCTATACTTAACAACGCATGATTTACTAAATTGATACTTTTAATAACTAAACAATATTATTCCATCTTTTCACTAAAACAGTTAAGGGATTTGATCAAATCACTTACTTTCTTTAGGGAAATGACCTTTCGGAGTTGTTATTTTAACATCTCTCGTGAATTGATCATCTACCTTAGGGATATCATCAAATCTCTATTTTTATCATTTCCCTGCGATAACTATAAACTCAACAAACAAACAAACGAGGTATTAGTGGCGCTCATCTAAATAAATGAACCATCTTCGTTGAAGTTTTATTAACAAATTTCATAACTGAAATCGAGATCCGTCCATCTATTGTTTTACTACAGATGTAAAAACTACACAATCTGTGTAACACTCGTCGAGAAATCACGATGAAGCAAAGAGCAAGTATCAAATTTTATGTAAAATTGAAGTAGTCAGAACAGTTGTGTTTCGTCAGCTTTCTTTTATACCTTTTCAATTTTATATTATTAATTATATTATATTTACAATTTTCTCACGTGTCTAATTTATTCGCCACCCTCGATCATCCCAAATCCTACATAAATTTAAATTTATAGGTGTTACTATACAGAGTGAGTTTTAATGGATGTTCGGAAACTTTTGGGACAAACCGTATATTCCCATTTTTCATCAGATGTTACACACGAGGCAAGACCTCGGCTGGAGATAAAAATCGCTAGCTAACCTGCTTTCAGGTAAACTAGCGGTTCTGATTTCGTCACTTGAAAATCAAAATAACTGTGCTTGTATTTTTATTATTTTGTCTTTCTTTTCTTTTTACCTTCATTCCATTGGATATTACATCTGTATACAGAATGCTCCCTTGATCACAAAGTGCAAGAGAGATGAGGTGAATTGGATCGTTTTTGATCAAATAACTTACCGTAACATCATTTTATATACTATCTGTTTGGTAATGGGCTTCAATTATAGCCAGTTTATCTGATTTTAAAACAGTATTATTGATTTCACTTTATACATACTGTGAAAATAGTTAGAAATTTTTTAGAAGAATCTCGAAAAACAATTCAGATGACCCCGTGCAAGATAACTACGTTCAAATAATTAGCTTCATTTCTTAATATTACAAGTTTGATGATAGACAATAACATTAATTCAACTGAACATTATAATGAAGCACATTAAGGTAACACTATAGATCTGCCAGTCCACATACAGTTTAAATGAAACACATCGGTCAGATTCACTGAAATCATTAAGAATAAAACGAAAGTGAACAAAGTCTACGAGGATCAAGTGAAAAGAGTTTCAAACAATCCTAAAATAGTTGTTACAACTGACCCATCTCCATGGTTGCTAATATTTAATTACACAAGAAAAAAAACTAAATGTTGTAGATTGATATTCATAGTTATGATAATGAAAATTAGACAAAAAAGGGAGCAACAGTTTTGGAAGATTGAACAAAACAAGAGCAGTTAGAAAACTTACTTTTCGTATTGGAAAAGTAATACACCCAAATAAAAACGTTCCAAGTGTCCACTGGGGCCTAATCTGGTCCCTTTTTCCCTCGACGACCTGTCTTTTTTACTAAGAATTTTTAAGTTATTTTATTGTTTTTTATTTCTTTATTTTATGTGTTTCTATTGACCTATGTTTCAATTGTGTCAAAAATATGAATACGATAAACATGTAATTAAGTATATTAATCTCAGTTAAGTATATTATAATATATAAATATATTAATATAATATATTAAGTACAATATATAAATATATTAATATAATATATTAAGTACAATATATAAATATATCATATATAATATATTAAGTATATTAATCTTAATAGAACGGTTAGCCCGTCTTACGAAAGTAACAAGAAACCCACTAAATACAGCACAAATTTTTTTCTAGATGTTTACTACCTATAAAACTTACGCAATACGTGTAGTGGGTGTAGAACGTATTCGTACACCGATCAATTTCCCAAAAAACTTTTCTGTGAAATTGTAGTTTCTTAACTTCCTTTTTTATAATCAATGATATTTTACGTATTCTCGGAAGTCTTTAAGATAGGTATAGTCTAAACAACATTTACTAGTTAATATAATTTGGGAAATTGAGAAAAAACAATGCGAAAAGTAGGTAAAAGTATAGAAGCAATAAGTATTTGTACGATTCTTATGACGAACCATTTACAGTAGAGTTTGTAACGTAAACGCCTTAGTTTATTGCTCCGTACGAATTAGAAAACATCAAATTTCCAGTAAAGTACATTTAAACAGTTGTGCGAATACTTACTGCTTCAATATTTTTATCGATTAATTGTTTTTTTCTTGTTAATTTCACAACTTACATAAATAGCTATTTTTTTTGTAATCTATCTATTCTAGAGATTTCGGAGAATATGTAAAATGTCATTGTTTAGAAATAATAAGTTAATAAATTATAATTTTACACAGTTTTTTTGGAAATTGATCGGTGTACGAATACTTTCTACACCCACTGTAAATAAATTTTAATAACGGTAGTAAACCGATCGTTTCATAAATAGAAGACTAACGCATAATGGGTTAATAGCAGCACAGCTGAATTTCGCTTTCGTATTACCTTTATGCACATACCGTTTTTCTTTCACCGTTTTAAAGACATTATTATTACCTTTTTTAATTCTTTTATTTAACGTTACATCAACTACAAGGTTATTAGTCACCACTATGATTACTATTTGATTAAAATTTATTCAATATATTATGTTTAATTAATGGATATTTAC